CGCTGCTGTCGGTATACTGAGACCTCCTTCGCGTTGTGGCCTAAGCTCACTCTCCGCGGCTGTTTAGTGCAAGTTGTTCGAGTCTTTCTTCATTGAGGTCTTCCTTATACGTGTTGTTTTAGGTTTATGTTGATATTTCCGTCTTGTTTTTCTTCTTCTCCAGAGCATCATTATTAATATTATCACGTGTTATTGTCCTGATATCATTATCCTTATCATGATTATGTATTATCATTATCATATTATCATTATCATTATTATTTGATTTGTATTATCATTATCATTATTATTTGTATTATCATTATCATTATCAATTATCATTATCATTATCATTATCATTATTTGTATTATCATTATCCTTATCATTTGTATTATCATTATCATTATTATTTGTATTATCATTATCATTATCATTTGTATTATCATTATCATTTGTATTATCATTATCATTATTATTTGTATTATCATTATCATCAATATCAGTGTTATTACAGTAATTATTTTCAACATGATGGTTATCATTATTTGTATAATTTGTATTATTTATATTACTGTTATTGTTAATATTATTAGTATTATCATGAACATTGTTATCATTACCATGAATTTTATTATTATTATTATTATCATTAACAAGATCACTTTTATTATCATCATTATCATCATTGTCACTGTTATTATTGTTATCATTATCATTGTTATTATTATCATTTTTATTGTTGTTGCTACTGTTATCACTATTATCATAATTGTTATTATCATCATTATTGTAATTATCATCATTATTACCATCATTAGTATTATAGTAGTATAATCATTATCATTATTATTATTATAGTCCCAGTTATCATTATTGTCATATTTATTAGTAGTATCTACAAGTAATAGTATCATCATTATCATTATTATAATTGTTATCATTATTATCTTTGTAATTGTTATTATTATTAACTTTGTAATTATTATTATTATTATCATTGTTATCTTAGTCATTATTAGTATCATTGTTATCATTTTCATCATTATCTTTATCATTATTTTCCCTACTTTTATTATTGCTATTATTATTCCTGTTTTGTTGTCTCCCTTATTATTATCATTATCATTATTATTATTATTAATCATATCACTACTATCATCAGTATTATCATTATCATTATCTTTTTGTTGTTGTTGTTGTTGTTATCGTCATTTTCTTTTTTATCATTACTATGATCATTACCATCATCATTATTGTGCTTTTTTCCATTATCATTTTCTTTATTATCACTAATATCATTACTATTATTATAATTATTAATATATTTATTTTTATTATTATTATCATTATTACTGCTACAACCATTATCATTGTTATCTTTATTACTCTTACCATTGTTTATTATTATCACTAAGGAGCCGCTCATGATTACTAATGCTATCATTGTTATCATCATTAATATTATTACTGATTATTGTTATCACTGAAGAGCGGCCCCGTGATTGGTCCAGTCCGCGCGTGTTCGAATCCGGAACCGCTGGCTTGAGATTAAGAGGAAGCACAACCACGCGGGGTAACTGCCACCATCTGCCAGAACCGAAGTGTTTCAAATGAAGGGTTTGAAAGGGGTTCCTGGCGTAAAAGTGATTCTTTATTGTTATCATTTCTTGTATTATCTATTACGTGTATCATTGTTATTATTATCATTATTACTATTATTACAATCAGCAACTATTAGAGTTATGATTCTATTTTTTTTTTTTTATTGTTTTTTCTCCTTATTCTATATCATTATCATTATAGCCATTATTATTATCACTATTATTATCAATACTATTATTATTACTATTTTATCATCACTATTATTATTATTTTTATTATTATTATTATTATTATTATCATTATTGTCATTATAATCATTATAATCATTATCAATACCATTATCATCACCATCATCATCATTACCACTATTATCATTATCATTATTATCATAATTATTGTTGTAGTTATTATTATTAACAATATATTATCATTACTATGATAATACCTTTTGTTATTATTATTATCATTACTATGATAATGATTTTCATTACTTTATTATCATTATTGTTATTATCATTAATATTATTATTATCATTAATACTATAATCGTCATTATCATTAGTATTATCAATATCATCATAATCATTATCATTTGTCTCTACCTCAGTTGCCTTTAGTTCCATTCACTGTTGGGCCTTGCTTAATCCCTACAACCCCCCCCCCCTTACGTAGCCATAATAGTGTCTAAATCCTAAGGTTGCATCGACTAAGGAGGGTCCAGTTTGGATTCAGTGATGCATGTTACATCTGGTTGATCAATCATTAGATCTAGTTCTAGTAACTTCGAAGATAAACCATCTATATTGTATGAACAGTTTCTATGTGATCTTTCGGTGTTCCTTTTGGTTTTAAAGCTAGGGATTCTCTGTCTTTTTGGCTCCGATAGCATACTTGTTTTGTATAGAAACCTCTTACCCA